GATATTGTACTGAAAACAGACGATAAGCTCCAACTAACAACTAAATTGTATGACAAACGAGATGACTTCAGCTTTTTCAACGTCAGCTTTCCTTATTTATGTAATAATATTCCGCTATCACCTGTTTACGTCTCCCAACTTATCCGATACTCAAAAACATGTTCTGAGTACAATCAATTTTAAAACCGAGGCAGGCTACTGGCAGATTAGTTGAAATTACAGGGATTTAAACAAACTCTTTTAAAGTCAGCATTTGGTAAATTCTATGATAGTTATAGTGACCATGTTAGCATATATAACCTATCATTGGGTAGGTTTTTTTGGCTGAGGTGTTTCATACCAATTGTTAGGCCTTTGTTTTTATACTAAATTTGACTATGCAATGTTCCGTCTACCTGATCAGTACATAGGTCTCACGGCGGATGTGTCTGGTCAACAGGGGATGCTTACTCCTCCTAGGCACCTGATTCCACCCCTGGAATTTGCGGGGGCCCGTGTTTTATAGCCTGATTACAGAGTTGTATTGTTTGTAGATTTTTTTGAGATCGATTACCGTTCGTTTTCTTCGCCTTCTTTCATTTTATGCATGGGAAGAGGATTACCATAGTTTTTGGAACTTCTGTCCAATCACTTTGACATATAGTTAATAAAATATGTTCAAAGCAATATGTATTCAAATATTTTATAACTTATTTATTGCATTCAAAATACCAGTAGTAGTTTTGAAATATATTCATAAATTAACAGACATAAATTTTCATCAAATTAATGTCTTTTAATACAAAGGGTTTGATTTTGATTTTTGTTTGCTTTTCGTCAAAATATATACTTCAGATCTGTCCATAACAGTATACAGATAAACAAAAGTAATGAGGCTGAGAAATCTGGACATAAATTAAAATACGTCCCTAATGTATAGTTTAATATGAGAAGAAAGCTTATATATTTATCATTTAGAATACACGTTGCATTTTCTTAAAAATATACCCATGAATGAGACCCTCTGAGTTCCTGCTGTTATATTTGTGTTTATATTTGATATCTTTTAATCATTAAAACGGTAAAATGTATTATCATGCTAGGCATGGGGGCATTTAAGGACTTTCTTTTTTACATCCAGCGTTTATATGTAAAACGTTTGTAAAAACCGGACAAATATAGGCATCAACTTTGGATTGGTCACGTTTGCCATGTTTTTATGACAGATACATATATCTTTAAGTCATGCCACGTTTTCTATTACTTTAAAATAGCTGGGGATGCTATTTCTGTTAGGCTATCAAGTTAAGTTAACGTTTAGTGGATGAAAGTTTCATGGAAGGGTTAATGTATTCTTTGTAATAATAGGTATCATACGATATATGATATTGACACTTTCGTTGCAGATTAGAGTTTCCTGTAGAAATTGTGTTTTGATTGTATTACTCTCAAACAATATCTATTAATGGATGATCATGTTTCACACGATATATATTATAGTGTACTTCTGAAACGTGTGGAGATAATTAATAATTTCTTTCAGCAAAGGTTTCTTTTATCATATTAAAAAGGCTTTGTACATATAGAGTATTCACCTCATAAGTGATAGGCTCTAAGTTCGATTCTCGGACAGAACAGAACATGTAGTTTAAAATATGTTATGACACTCCCGAAACTCACTGGTTTTACGAATGAGACCTTTAAACCGTAACATTTGTGTCGTGGTAACCACAAGCACGAAAAGCTCAAGACTGCATTGGTTAATTGCTTATGTTAATTTAGTATTACACCTTTATTTATGACGATGTATCTATCTTATATATAACGCTTTTTACTGATCAGCTACATTGAATTATATATTATAATATATCTTGTGATTTTTTTTTAAATAAAAAAAAGAGTCTATATTTTTTGAGAGTATTGAAGTTGTTTTCAGGACATGGTATAATCTGAACATTTACTTTAGAAAAAAGCTTTTAAAATGATGAGATACTACATGTAGTATTGTGCACGTGGATCTTTATTCGTAATTAAGTATATATTCAGTCATAGTGGGCGTTTTTGGTTTCTGTTATGCAAAAAATATTAAAAATTGCCATAGCAACTTCATTCTTTGTCAATAAATCACATTTCCCCTATTTTTCATAGATGCCATATCATAAATTAATGAATGAAAAGTGAATATTATTTTTTTCCCTCTATCTTATGACACAGTGGTGAATAGCATGCCTGTTTCTCCGTCAATACAAACTCTTATCGTCTTCAATTTGTGACTTATCTATAAACAAGCTTCCGTCTATATCCCGATCGTTGGTAATTTATAGTAAATTAATGGAGATCTCTCGACCGAATAATGCCCACTCGACATTGGAGGTTAAGGACCCTATCTACACTGCACATTAATTGTGTATTTAGACCGATCCACCATTTGATATAAAATAGAATAATTTGCAATCAGCACTGCATTACATAATTTGTAATCAATTCAAGTATTCTTAGCATTATATTAGATCATGATATAGTAATTGAACACTTAAATTGAATATAATGTTCAGAACCAGATATTGGTAAAGAGAGTTCATGTTTCGTCTTACTTCATTATTATATTTCGTCAGCTGAATGGAAAGTATAAGAGTGCACTTAAACGGAGAATTGGAGACAAATTATCGCCTCTAATAACTCTTTTCAAAATTTGAAAATGTGAAATGATTTTTGTTTTATTAAAATCATTTGACGCATATGTTTTGAAAAACAAATATCCCACAATGTAATTCCCACCGCCTCTCATTGTCGAATTTTCAGTGAAATTGATTTGAGAAAAATGTATTTTAAAAGAAGAAAGAACGCCACCTTGTATAAAACAATGCTTGTGGCCAATTTTGGCCATCATTAATTTTAAACAATGCTTGAATAACATTTACGTCATATCCGGGCATTTAAATTTGAATTCAAGATTTCCGGATAGAGAATACCTTTGATACCCGAATTATTATTTGAAACAGATTCATTGTTGAAGAAGCGTATGGAATCGACACAGCTTTTACTGATTTCCAAGATTATTGATGTACATACATCAAGTTGTTCAATATCTGTTTCGTACTGATTTGATTTTTATATAATAGAAGTACTCTTATCTGCCTTGCTGTTGCCTCTGGTGTATTGATCTTGCACGGTTTAGAAAAAAGGATTTTTTTATCATATTAAGATGAAGGTAAAAGATTTTTGTGCATGAAAAGTAAAATCTGAAAGAGCTGTTGTATTATAATTATATTATATTACAATGTATATCATGTGTTGATATATAATTTAAAGTAACCACGAAATGAAGAGAAAAGTACCGTTTATTTAAATGGTGTCAAATTTTCATCGTTTGAAGAGAAAACAAAATTTGTTCCTGGGGATTTTATTTCATGGTTGAAGTAAAAACATGATACTGTAGTTTGAAGTTTTAACATTTTTGGAGGATATGAATTTGTTCGTTTCTTCATTCCATGAAAACAACCCACCCCCTTCCCTACCCCACCCCACCCCTACCAAATTAGAATTAAGATTTCACAACTAGATGCAAGTTTTGCCTCAGTCTATCAGTTGTTATTATTCTCTCGACTATTGCTGCTTTATGTTTTATCAGTGGGTTTTTTTTTTTGTTTATTTGTTGGAATTTCTTTGTTTCTTTTTTATTTTTTTTGTGGAGAGGGGGTTCAAACAGGCTAGAGAATCCCGAGGGAGCATTTGATTGGTCGCCATGACCTGTAAGGTATTTGTTCTATTGCCCTGCTGTGGGAAGTCATAATGTATATAAACTTTGAAGAAATTTAGTTTTTACCAAGGGAGAAAAGTTCCCTACATGCTCTTTAGTTCCTGATTTTTCAATTTGCCAACCATCGTTTGTCATTTAACGATTTAAAAATTTAGGAACTCAAGTTGGATAAAAAACCGTACCTAAATCAACGATTTGAGGAGCGTCTGTTTCTCTGTGCCCATCCTCCTTCCTACAAACTGTAAATGATAACATTGCATTGACAGGTTGGGAAATGGTTTTAAAAAATAAACACTAAAGATGAGTATAAAGTATTGTGTATTGTAATCTTTTAAGACTGTAAAGAAGACATACATATTCATCCCTTTGGAGAATACAAAGAGTCTCTCAGCTCATCCAAGGACAATTCTGTTTACTCTAAATTAAAGCTGGGGATTTAACTCTTTCTCTTCTCTTCTCTCTCTCTCTCTCTCTCTCTCTCTCTCTCTCTCTCTCTGTAAAAAATTAATGCTTCGAATTCACATATTTTAAGTAACGGATGTATTAATTATTTTGTTCAAAACACATTACGCAAGAGAGAAAGAGAGAAAGATATGTATCAACATTTTATTGAAAGAAATAATAAAGGAAGATCCTCAATTTACTTAAAAATTTTCTTAAGAATACTGTGGAATCATTTAAATTTGTTGAGGTCAATGTTCGTAGGTAAGCAAAATTTTCTTGGTTCGATGGTACGAAATTTTGTGGGTAACTCATAAATACATAAATCAGTTAATAAATATGTTGAAAACAATTGTTGGCGGGGATGTAAATTCATGGATAAGTTTGACCCAAGAAGGCCATGAACATTGGTCCTCCACAAACAATGAAGATTCCACATTACGTTATTGTGCCTAGCTACTTTTTCTTTGCGTTATTATGCCTACTTTTTCATTGTGTTATTATGCCTACTTTTTCATTACGTTATTGTGCCTACTTTTTCATTGCGCTATTGTGCCTACTTTTTTTCATTGTGTTATTGTGCCTACTTTTTCAATGCGTTATTGTATACCTACTTTTTCATTGAGTTATTGAGCCTACTTTTTTATTGCGTTATTGTGCCTACATTTTTATTGCGTTATTGTGCCTACTTTTTCATTGAATAATTGTTTCTACTTTTTCATTGAGATTGAGCCTACTTTTTCATTGCGTTATTGTGCCTACTTTTTCATTGTGTTATTGTGCCTACTTTTTCATTGCATTATTGTTCCTACTTTTTCAGGGTCAAGTGGTCATAAGTCTAGAGGAACAGGAAAGGAGGAGAGACAAAGAGCAAATCAAATGTCTCAGGAAAATGTTGTTTGGGCCCCATTTGAAAAGAGGTAAATTGTATATCTCTATACATTCAGATTTAGTTCCAGGTCGTAAGTTAAACACCTGTGAAAATCACTTAACATCCTTATCAACAGTTACTGTCTATCATGATATTGACTTGTACGATATAATGAAACTGAAAATTATATTCACATGCATTGTTACAACGCACTTTGAAAAATTACGCACTTTGAAAAAAATTTTCAAAGTGCGTTAATTTTGGGACCACGTTAACGCACTTTGAAAAAAAAAAAATTCTTTTCAAAGTGCGTTAATATCGACCATATTAACGCACTTTGAAAAAAAAATGTGCAAGGCTTGGTCAATATTCTTGCAATTTTAGGTATGATAAATAATTATTTGAACCTGGTTGGATAACTTTTCGGTGATGACGTCAGGATCTGAGATATAGACGTTTTAAAGATTTTTAGGAGTTGTCTTGTTTCCAAAGGTTCTCGTAACTGTCATAAAAGGGAAATGGGTCCTAGGAATAATGGAGGAATGATTGTTTAATAGCACAGTTTCTTTCTTTTTTTTTTCTTTTCTTTTTTAAATTTTATCCAGTCTCTAATAAGTTTGGTAGATGTAGGTGTCGATAAGTGACTTAAAGCATCGCATTTTTCTTAGGGAAAAGGGAGCAATTATGATTTTTCAATACCATGAAAATTCTCTCTCTCTCTCTCTCTCTCTCATCTTTTTCTATCATATTCGGTTATCTATCTATTGTGAACATATATGAAACAATGGTTGACTCATTTATTTGATAGTAAGAAAATAAACCTTAAAATTAAGCACATTACTCACTCCACTGAAACTTTTACCTCGTTCACTAATAAATTTTTCTCAAAAGCTTTATGCAGTCAGATTACTTCTAAATCTGTAATTTGATATCAAAAAAAGCGCTAGACATGTCAAATAGCATGTTTTAATTATCATGTAAATGCATTTTTTCTGGGGAATCATTGTGGATACATTTTGAATAAAGGTTATGCGGCTCTCTTCTTTAATATAATAGGGTGCGTAATTTTTTTTTCTTCAGGAAAGCTTATTTCAATTTTTTCATCTATTTTACGTTAACTCAAATTTTTTGAGAGAAATAATATCAATGTCATACCAGTAATGTAAATACATATAATTGTGTACGAAAGATAGAGAGTTAAAATCTAAGTCCAGGATTTTTGATTTATACGTATTTTTTCAAAGTGCGTTAAGTGTCTCCATGGTAAAAAATGTTGATGTACACTCTTAACGCACTTTGAAAAAAAAATTTCAAAGTGCGTTGATTTTGTCCAAAATTTGACGCACTTTGAAAAAAATTTTCAAAGTGCGTTGATTTTGTCCCAATTTTAACGCACTTTGAAAATGTTTTTCAAAGTGCGTTGCCACAATGCATTTACAATATATCCTCATCACCCTCATCAACTGCATACGGGGTTTATATCTTTTAGTTTATATCTCTCGCAAGAGCATGCTCAACGTATGAACAATTTCTAAAACGGGCTAAGTTATTGACAAACAAATTGATGAAACAAGAATATCAGCAGTCTCGTTTAAAGTGGTCGTTTCGTAAGTTCTATGGTCGATACAATGACATTGTCAGCATATACAATTTATCATTAAGTCAAATGCTGACTGACGTCTTTCATACTAATTGTTAGGCCATTATTTACACACTGAATTATCGACGGATTTTTCCGTTATTACCCGATCATGACAAGGAGCACACGGCGGGTGTGACCGGTCGGCAGGGGATGCTCACTCCTCCATGGCACCTGATCCCACCTCTGATGTCCGTGTTTGCTCTGCTCCAAAATTTGTATTGTTTAATGGACTTTTGAGCTTGAATACTGTTAGTTATCTCCATATATGTCATGCATAGATCATAATGAGATATTTTTTTTCTTCAGGATATATCAATGTTATACTTTCTTATTATTGATTTTGTGAATATCATTAAGGGAACAAATTAGACCTATTGAGAAACATAATTTAGAATCAAAATAAATCTAAAGAGAGTGATTCAAATAATGACATGATGAACGTTTTTTAAATAATAAAATCTGTAAAAAAACAATACTGATCATTAATTCATTAACTTAACGAATTACAAAAATGATGAATTTCGTTTTTGTTCTGCTGAATTATCGTGAACTTCAAGAAGAAATTCATCATAACAATTTCACCTTTCAAATGAATTCAGAGGGGAAAAATATGATGTAATAATTGTTTTCGACATAGGAATGTGAAGAGCATTGCAGATATCTAAACTAAATGCCTGTCAAACATAGTTCGTTATCAATGCTTTTACATGTAGTAAGGTGCACATGATTGTGTACATTCAATAAGCAAAGTGATTTGAAATGGACTAAAGATTAAAGAAATTAAAGAAACATAATACATATACGAGGGTTGTTAGAAAAGTTCGCGGACAAGTTCTACTGTGTGCGCGCTATTTGCATGAAACCAGTAAAACTCTGCAGATAAAAACTATGCGTATTTTCCAATAAATATGCAAAAATTTGGTGTTTTCCGATGATCCTAAAAAATATGCAGCTATATTATTTAGGTAAAACATGCTTCACGGAGCATGTCACTTTTTCGCACATTTATTACATATACATTTTTTTGAAATTAAAAATTGCACTGTTGTGGCGCATAAAGATTTATGATATTTCACCTGTCGCTACAATATTCATGAAACAAAATTCGGCGAAAATTTGAATTAAATTGAAGGGGATATGACTGTTTTTATCGATAATCATAGATAATCAATGCGTAAAAACAAAGTTAAGAATGGCAACGTCATTGAACGTCTTGGAGCACCAAGTTATTGAAAAATTATGTGTGCTGACAGGAAAATGCCCCAAAGAGGCTAAGATTTTTTAGATGCTGCTGGGGATTGCCTACAAATACCTAGGACCAAAGTGTTCAAAGGGTAGTAGTTTTGTAAAAATGGAAGGATAGACATATTTTATCAACTCCTGAGATACCCTAAAACCCACATATCGCACGGACTAAGGATTTTGCATTGTTTCCATACCTGATCGATTAACTGTGTAGACATCCTTTTCAAGATCTCACTATCCGACACTCCACAAAAGACTTTTTAGAAAAAAGTATCATGTCTTGATATAGTTATATAATTTTTAAGTAGGAAAAAAAACATGAAAAGTCTATTGAAATGAAAGATATTTTAAACTGTGATTGTCAGGTTTGGAATCAGGTTGTCACGTCACCTAACGTTAAAAAAAGTCTCGTGAACCCTGTGACCGCACAGTAAAAAATCATTGTATATTTTCAAAATTTTAGTAAATGCACCTAATTTTTTACATACTTATAAACAAAAGATAAGAATTTAATCAGATATATATCATTCTTCAAAGTATACAACAAACTTTCCGTAAATCAATGCGTCCGCGAACTTTTCTAACAATCCTCGTATATGTATCAAATTTCTGATTTAAAATTTGTTTCCTTGAATCAACAGCCAATATTACAACATAGCTGCGAGGAAAATTGTGATCCCCTGCAAACGAAACTAAAAGTTAAAAAAAAAAATTGCTAATTAGAAATTTTTAAGTCTAGGGGAACAGCTTTCAAAAAATGGGTATATCAACATGAATATCTAGTTTGATTTACAAGTTCTAAAAATAAAGAGGCATGTAAAAATTCAGCTTAATATATACAAGCACATTAAGGAAAGTAAGAAACAGGTACAAAAATCTTTTTAAAATTTTCAAGGTCTTTAGTCAACTTTCGTGAAAATGGGTCAATCGACATAAACTCAAAGTTGATCTGTAAGTCTCGGTATATAAAGAGACGTATAAAATCAGCCCATTATCTACAGCCACAGCAAAAAAAAGGTGCAAACTGTGAATGGGTGACAGAATGAAGAAATAATGGACGGAAAGGGTACATGTAACACTATATGCCCCGGCCTTTTCATGATGGGGGCATAAAAACGACGGAATCATTTTAAGCTTCGAGATCAAAATACATATTTTTCTATATCGCTGTTTTATTTCCGCCTTAAAGTGAATGACAGTGAAGCTTACATTGAACATTTGTTTTTAGATAAAAGTACTTTTTTTTTCTCTCTAGCAAAGTAAAAATAAAAGGAAATCAGTTTCAAACAGAAAGGAAACATAAATTCAAAGAGTTCAAGGCCGTACGCCAACAGCAAATGCAGTAATTTTGGAATTGTTGCAAATCAATCTTTCAAAATGAAGATTAGCACAGTATGTAGCCATCAAAGACTGTTAACCGTATTTATAAATATTTAATGCCTCTCCACTCCAATTAGACTGACGTTTATTAAATTGGTTAAAAAAGAAAAGAAACATTCCCCAAAACATCATTTTTATTTTGAAAAATGAGAAATGTTAACAATGATAAAGAATATCATATGCTTTTTCATCATTGTAAAAAAAGACGAAGGAAACTTGTTTGCAGTAGTTTGTATTTAAGCTAGAAACTGTCAAAATTGGATGTTATTCAGAGAAAAATAAACAAGACCTCAGTAGATTCCATTATTAAATTACTTTGTTGAAGTCTAAATTGTGCGTCCTGTATAAACTATCGGCATTTTCTTTGTAAATGGTTTCTGTCAGATTAGGGCATGCTGTTTAGTTCCGAGATATAGAGTACCTGTAACCATGCAAAGTCAAGTTGAGGCATTCCATCCCAGGATAATCTTGTCATTAGACAATAAGCTACTTTAAACTTTTCTAAGATCCAGCAAACATTTGATAATTGATAAAGGCATTTATGACAGAGGAGGGGGTGATTCTAATTTCCGCCCTTATAACAATCATGGATTCTCATAAACACACTCAACCCGTTGTAAGAAGATGGACGTTTTATTTCGATAACTGGCTCACCCATTCATCATTATTTAACAACCCTGTCAAAATTAATTACCCATATTTCTGAATTTGCCAGTTCCAGCCTTCCTTTATTCATTGCCAGGATATGCTCTCTGTGATACATAAAAGCCGCTCTCCACCTA